TCAGATAACTCAATTCCACTTTCGTGTCGCTCTTAGTTGCATGTAATGCTGAAAACATCTTTCATGATTATCAAATATTATAGATTTGACACTTAACCCAATAAGTATCAAATAACTCAGTAAATTGCAAGTACTCTACTGACAACATTTGACATTAAGTGATAACTATAGAATCTCTTCACCATCATCATTTCAAGATGCTTACAACCAATACTTACAACTATGTTGTTGAATAAGGATTACATAAGATTAACAATTAGAGCTTGATTGGATGAATTGTATAATAGTTCATTAATATTGGATATGGTTCGGTACGTGCAAAATTTATTAATGTTCAAATTTAATTATATTTGGATGATCATCTATTAATATCTGATAGTATCAGCTGTTTTTATTTAAATTGACAGTATGATATGACTGTATATTTGAACAAATTATCTATTTTACTCATATTTTATTTTATATATTAATAAATATGTATAAATACAATAAAATTGATATAATTAAATAAATTATATACATATATATATATATAATTAAAAATATAAATACATAAATTTAATTGAATATATTTATATATATATATAAATATAAATACATATATAGATATATAAATTTATTATATATATATATAATTAAATATATAAATATATATAAATTCAATAAAATTAAACAAATAGAAGTTAGAGATGAAGATGGTCTGCGGTGTGCGGCTCAGCGTCAGGTTTAGAAGAAAAAGAAGAATAAATCCTAAATATGTTAAAGAAGAAAAATGATAAAATAAAAAGTAAATTAATAAATAAATTTTTTTTTTAAGGTATAATAAAAAAAAAAAAATCAAATTATCATAAAATTATCGTGGTTTGAAAAAATAATTAAAATTATAATTCAATCACAAAAAATTTATATTATATATTTTAAAATATAAATAAATATATTTTATTATTATTGAACTATCTTCCAAATAATGGGAATAAGTCATAATATTCTTGCAGCAAACAGATTAGATGGGTAGTGACGTGAATGAAAGAGAGCCTTTCTCAATCTCTCCTCTGATTTCTTTGTTTTCAGTCTTTCTTTAACAATTGAATTGAAATTAACATACATATAGTGTCTTAAACCTCTGTTAAGAGGGAAGGGTACGGAGGATCTGGTGCGAGAAAACAGGACAAGAGAGAGCTGAGGACAAAGGAGAGATCTTTGGGCATTTTGAGAGGAAATCGGATAGTTTTAGTGGGGCTTTCCGTTCGGGTCTTTGGGGAACGAAGAGTATGAATCAGAGAGAAGGAATTAGAGCTTGGAAAGTCTTCTTCGCGGGTAATTTTCTTGGTCAAAAAACGAGCAGAGTTAGCGGTTCTTTAGGATTCACAAAAGGGTATTGCTTAATCTCTTTTTCCATTTGCTTTGTGTTTATCTATATCTATGTCTATATATATATTAAACTGAACCTGAGTATCAATGGTGTTGTAATTTGACACAAATGATTGAATGAAATCATACTCTTCTGGATATTGGTTCCTCTATATTTGGTTTATATTTTCTGAGTTTGTTGTAGTTATGAATATATCTGTCATCCATGTTTTCCTTCAGTTAGTATAACTTCATCTCATTCTTCTTTATAGAGATTTCATACCCATTTTAGTTGTGTTCTTCTTCATAGTCTAGTTTAGCTCTGCGTTATTTCACTTTCTGCATCTGTCTTGTTGGATTTTGGTTCCCATGGCAGCTACGGGGATTTCTTAGAGTTATACAGGTTCTTTTGCTTGTAAGCTACTGCGTTGGTTAGAGAAGAGCTACTTGAATCTTTCTTGGTAAACATCTTAAGGAAATCTTCATGTCTAGTTGAAGTTGTGTTTGCAATCCTCTCCCCTTTATATCCCTTCATGTTTAGCTCTATTGTTTTTGAATGCTTATTCAGTGTTTCTTTCTTTTTACTTTATCTGAGACTGTTTGATGCTGCTCTAGTAAATTTTTATATTTGTTTCCTGTCTTGACTCTACTGCCATTGTACTATGTTTTTATTTATGTTGTTCGGCAGTTTGAAGTAAAAGGGCTAAATTTGTTCAGCAGATTAAATAGGATATATTTATCCCATTAGAAATGAGCGAAACAGCTGTTTGATTGCTGGCTATGAATGTTTATCCTTTTAAGATTTGGTCGTGAGTTTTAGTATGAAACATATCTATTCTTATGCTTGATTCTATACCTACTTTTGTTTTAAGGAACGGTGTTATTAGGCTGCTTTTATGTTAAAAATCTGGCATATATAAGCTGTTTGCTCGTTGTCTATGAATGTTTTATGCTTTTAGAATTTGGTAACAAGATTTATTGCGATTGTATTTACTTTTATGCTTGATTTGGTACCTACTTTTGTTTTGAGGAACAGTGTCATTTAAGCTGCTTTTATGTTTACAATAGGTCATTGTGTTGAAAGCCTGTCAAATGCAGGCACAAAATGAGGTTTTTGAACTAAAGCTCCTACTTTGGTTGATTTTAGGTTGTTTTTTCCATTTTTGTTAATTCTTGGTTATGTTATTAGTTCTGTTCAATTTTAAACAGAATAATTTTAGATGAAACTGACATTGGTGTTGTCGTGGACCAACTTATTGGGATGTAAATGGGTGGTACCCTCTTGGTACCAATGAATTTACAATACTTTTATTTAAAAAAAAATCAAAACTTTAGCTGAAACTAATTGGTCTATATCACATGAAGAATGTCTCGCACTTCATTCAGGACTATCCTTTGAACATAATTTTTTCTAAAATTGTCTACAGTTTGCTTCAGTGCCTGATTCAACTCTTAATAAGATCATTGGTGAGTTCCTCATAGGGTTTGACACAGATTGTGCTTCTTAAAATCTGTTCACCGTCGTGTCCTACAGTTAATATACCTCTGTATACTCATTGAGTTTGTGGTTGGTGGATTGGTTCTATATTGAATTGACTTAAGAAATTTGCTTGGGTTAGCAATGAGTTTATTTAATGTGAGTATAATAGGTAATTGCTTCCTTTGATGAATATGGGTATAGGAGATAATTCTATTCTCGTTCCTGTTTCGTGAATTGTTGTGTGACATATGGGTTTCACTTGTTTATAATGGTTTCCATTTTCCATTTTCTCTCTTTATGTATTGATTGATAAAAGAAATGATAATAATATAGATGATGTGATGATTCGTTTTCTTCTGGGTCAGATGACCTTTCAAGGTACCAAAAGCTTAAAATATTTATTATGATTTTGATAGAGGAAGAACTTATAACCTGGACAAATTTATAAGTTTTTGCACTCTCTCATAAGCTGGTGGGTTGGAGACCTCATTTTTCAGGAGTACTACCTTGAATAAGGATTGACGAGACAAGAGTTAAACTTGATTTCATTTCAAGTGTTAAAGCATTGTTTATTGTCTTTTTCATTACTTAGTAAATTAAAACGAAAACATATAGTACGTATTTGAGTAAACAGATAAACCACTTATTTGGTAAATAAGCTTATATAACTTACAAGCTGGTGAAGAATATGGGCACTCATTTTTTTAAGTGAAGCAAAAATCAGAGTTTGATCCTTGTTGAACAAACTGTATTACTGCTTGCTTTCAATATTGAGTGGTTAGGATTTCCTGATTATACTCTTTTTGATTTATACCAGATAATTGATGATTTTAAAGTCACTCAGACTCTTCAAATTTGAGAACCAACCTGTTTGAGCCACAACTCAACAGTGTTATTGGTAAGCCCATGTATGCCGAAAGAAGATGGACCTAAAAGCGTTCTGATGGCTACGACCAATAGATGAGAAGTTGCCAAGTCATTTAAAACAGGCAACGGGAAGTGCATTTGCCAATTGACATTTATATCATAACTGAGCAGCTTCAAAACCTAAGGCTAGCAGAATCACGCTATCTTGATTCTTCTTTTTATGAAAATGGAGTCGTTGTTATCGTCTTCTCAAAAATATTCTCACCATGAGGATGATGATAAGTTCTTGTCAAGAGTATTTTCACTATCAATCAAGAGGCAGTCTTGTCCAATATGCTTAGAAATTATCCACAAACATAGAGCTGCAGTGATCGCAGTGTGCAAACATGCTTACTGCTTAGATTGCATTTGCAAATGGAGCAATCTGAAGAGGAATTGCCCCCTCTGCAATAAGCACTTTGATTCTTGGTTCTATTATTCAAATAGTTCATCAAAGAGGTTTCTCAAGGAGCAATTACCACCTCTATGCAAGGGCAAAATGGATGTCAGTTTAGAATCTAGGCCCATCGTCCATGATACTCGAAGGTGAGACTCTTGATTTGTATGCAACCTTTGCGAGAGTGTTAACTTTTTTCTTCTTTTGATTGGATTTCAGTTTTCATTTTCTTTTGTGTCTATTTGATAGAGTCATTCAAAGAACAAGAGAAGAATTGCATAGTGGTGGATGGAGATCAAGGCCTTTGCCTTGGCGCCGGTCCTTTGGCCGGCCAGGGTCAGTGCCACCTCATGTTATTGATGAAAGAAAGCTTCAATGGCGTGCCAGGTACTTTCTGCATGGATTATTTTTCTTTTAGTCAGCAATCTTTAGATTTATTTCCTGGTATGAATTTTTTCTTCTCAATAATTAATTATTACTCTTGTACAGCGTGTATAGGAAAGGCTTACAAGCTGTCCCTTTATCTTCCAGGAATTGCCTTGACCAAGTACGTTTATCTAATTTATGTTCCCACCTTCTTGTAGTTAACTTGAAATTTTATAATCCTTTTAAAGATTATTCTTCTTACTTTTCAAATTCTCACTTCTGAACATCGTAGAATACTTCGTGGAACGATTCTGAGAGAGAAAGAATGTTACGGAGAATAGAACCGTGGATTCGGAGAGAACTCCAGGCGATCCTCGGGGACCCAGATCCGACAATTATTGTTCATGTTGCGTCTTCGGTTCTCATTACAATCCTTGAAAGAAAGGGTATCGTCAACTCAGATCAGACAAGTGTTGAAGATGACTTGTTTGGGTCTTTACGACAATTTTTGCACAATCAAACCAACATGTTTTTGCACGAGCTAAGGTATTTACAGATTCTAATAATGCTATTCATGGAGTCATCAAATCATTCTGGCATTTTGCCTGTTTCTATCAAGGTCTAAATTTTATTGTCTTTTAGTTTCATTTACCTATTTCGCCTTGGTATCCGAGAAAATTTCATAGTAATTTTCTGCTTGTCATGAACTCATGA